AGGTAACATCTTATAGCACTGAAGATGTTACCTAGCCGGGTAATGAAATGTTTGCAAGAAAAGAACCAAGCTCAGAGAACTCCAAGGACTCCACAACTGCTTATGCAATATAGCAGAAGGTTTCATATAAGAATAGAGACAACGTGACTAAGAATAAATGATTAATTTATATGTATTGTCGAAGGCTTTCACGGCCAGAATATGATGGCTGATGTGGGTCTTCCGGGCTGTGTGCCACCGCTCCTGTCTGTGCTCCTGTCCTCTGAAGATGCCGGTCACAGATGCTGGCGAAACGTTAGGAACCAAAACTTCCAGAACACGGCCTCATAGCCCGGAAGACCCACATCAGCCATCGATTAATTTATACTTTCCTATCTGGTAGCAGTTTTAGTTTCAGCTGATTATTATCTAATTAGTTTAAACTGATTTGATTTGATTTGATTTAACACAGGCTACTCTGGGACAATGTAATACTCCAAAACCAAGTATGCTGGATTTTGTCAACAAAGCCAAATGGGATGCATGGCACTCACTTGGCAGCATGACACAGGTAAGCATGCTCCCACAGTAAAACCTGGTTTAACATTGGGGTGAAGAGTGTCCTTTAAAACCAAATGCCCATTATATCCACATTTATATAATTGATGTAATTTACATAGTTTGAGACAATATGTAATTTGCATAATTGCAAATGGTATAAATTGATGCAGATGATATACATAGCTACATCAGTTACATAACTGTGCAAGCGAAAAATTGTCAGGTATGGGGCTTCAAGATTTCAGTCTTAAAATTGCGGTGGTAGCTTTTTTAAAATAACTTTCTCTGGTATGAGTTTCTTACTTGACATCAAGGGTCATGGAGAGATCCCATTTTAAACATCTTGTTTACTAAAATAATATTATAAAATATTATATAATATTATAACAATATTATAACAATATTGTAAAAAGTTTAATTTACATTATTTCATATATTTTTATATAAAGATGCCCATTGTACACATTGTTGGTTCTTATAAAAATATGCAAACTCATTGGAAGCAAAAGATAAGGTGTTAATTTTTAAAGGGACTTTGATAAAGATGTCACCACCAGAGAATTAAAAAAAGATCTTGCTTTACTCAAGGCTGCACTACAAAATCTTTCGTAAGTAACTGAAATTCCCAACTGTTCTCAAGTGAATTAATTCTGTTAAATTAGAAACAAATTAATTTAAAGTGCTTCTTGATGAAGGATTCTGTACTACGTATCAAAAGACAATATGCAGTTGTTCTTTTTCTTAGTACTGGATATTTTAGAAAGCAAAAGAGAGAACATATTCTGGGAAAACTCGGCAGCATACAAGTGAAAGACAGTAATATCTAAATCCCCCTGAAATGTCATGGGCGAGGCAGGATAATTGTATTTTTGAAGTATCATCTTTAGGTGACTATTGGCCAGTCACTCTCTCTCAGTCCAACCTACCTGACAGAGTTGTTGTTGTGGGGAAAAAATAGAAGGAGGAAGTGCTATATACTTGAGCTCCTGAAAGAAAGTGGGTGTAACTCTAACACATTTTTGTTTTGTTACATCATAAGTGTGTTTTTATTTAGGTTCGAGTCATGTCACTGAAGAATTCAGAAAAACTGTTAGCATTCTTAATATCTATTACTTATTCTTAATTGACCACATTTTGATTAAGATTCCAGAAATGTATTTTGATCCGGAAATATTGACTTGATATTTCTGATTTCATAAAGTTATAATAGAAATCATTTAGTAGAAACTTTTGGGAAAACACACTTAGAATTTAAGACATGAAAGTTCTCCTGTCAAAGTTCCTGTGTTTACACTATAATTCTGTACCTAGAATATAACTTTCAATTCCCTATTTACAGAAAGCATTTCCTAAATGAAGCCTATTCACTTTATCATGTGCTTTCTCTAAATCAACAAATGTAGTGTAAGCTTTTTTTTTCACATTCATACATTTCTTAATGGCTAACTGTAAAACAAAAATCTGATCTGCATACACAATGCATATCTCAGTTTTTTCTCATTATCATTTCTTGTACTGTTTCAATCAGAATTTTGCCAAACAACTTCCCAAGTATACTTATCAAATCCCCTTGTAATTTTGTGTTAATTCTTGCTATGTTTCACTGTGTAGGGGAACAATAATAGCATTCTTCCAATTGTCAGCGCAGCTGCAACCTGCACAAATATATTAAACAAGTTGCACAGCTGCTCCATAAGTAACTCACATCCATATTTTAACATTTTTCCAGTTATACCAGCTATACCTACAACCTTACCATTTTTTCAACATTCTCACAGCATTTATGACTTCCTTTTCATCAAATAGACTTTTCTAAGCAGATACTTACCAGTCACCATTTTCATTCATTCTTGGAGCTCCAAATACTCCAGTTCCTTTTTCTGTACTCTCTTGTGTTGTTCCCACCCATTCATTCAATACCTAAAAGATTATTATCTTTCTCTGGATTACATTTGTTTAGATCATTTCACATTTTTTCCCAAACTCATCTGTGTTTCTTCCATTCTCACTGTAGTGTAAGCTGCAATTGTCATCATTCTATGGATTTCTGTTTTCTATCTCCATAACACCAATTCTACCTTCTTAGATATATATTTTAGCTCTGCTCATCATGTCCTCCTAACTGGGTCACAAGCATTACCTAGTAACATTTTTTATTCCATGACCTCATGACTTTACCTTCATCTCATCCCCAGCCAATAGCTATTGCAGTTTTAAAGTAGTGTTTTCCCTTTTGGGCGGTGGGCAGGGGTATGCACATCCTAGCATACTTCATTGACAGTGTTGTTGATACATATGTGCCCAATTCCTACTATCTACTTTGGGCTGCTGCAGACATGATCTAGTAGACACTGAGCACTGCCTCCATAGCCATCTTGACCTGGACTACAGGCAACGCTGGATATCTGGCTTCTGCAGAGGCATCCACTTGTGTACTGCTTGATAGTGTTTGAATTTTTGAAATAGCATGACTCCTGTTTTTAAAATACAGGTTTTGAGCTTTTTTGAATGAGAGCCCTAGTTCTGTGCTGCTCTGCTGCAAAGGTCAGTGTAAATTAGGAAGGAGAGTTGATTTGCCAGCTGTGTATTGTTGGTTCTGTCACTATTAGATGCAGGTTTTTATAGATTTTCCTCTGCCTCTGTCAACAGGGATTTCTCAGTATAATACTGTTTAGTGTTCTTATTATTTTGGTGGGGGATACCACTTTACCCTCTCCATCCTGGCTCCATGGCTGCCCAGGCAATGCTTCTCAGTGCTGCCTTCCATAAAGACAGAACTACAAGCACTGCAAGCACTAGGAGGAAGCTTTATCACTCGCTCCCTCTCCTTTCATCCCACGCCCCTCCTCTGTATTTGTGACATGTCAGCAGGGTTATTCTTGGATAATAATTCTTGGATTCTACTCTTTGAGCACTACACCCATGTTCAGAAATAACCCCATTAACAGGTCACAGGTGCAAATCAACCATCTATGGTTGCCAGCCAATCCCTCCTCCCAAAATTAGGAATAGCATTTAATTATTTATTTGCTTGCTTACATACTTGCAAATGCTTCTATGCTGCTTCAATCCCCCAACTTTAAGTGGCTTATAACATAACATCAAATACATATTATACATTACAATGGATCGACATTTATCAAAATGATTAAACAATAGTAATAAATACTGCTGGCATAGATTCAAGATAATTATAATATCATAAAATAACATGACATCATGCAGCCAGTTTCATTTCTACTTGAGTATATCTCTCATCCTTGCCTCAGTCCTCAGATGCACATTAAAAAATCATGCTTTTAAAAGCTTCCTGAGATGGGAGGGTGCAGTTTTTCTACTTGGTGAGAGAGTATTCCACAGAAAGGGGGTTCCTGCAGGAAATCCCACCTTCAAATCCCCTCTTGCTGTATATCACGCAAGGTGGAGATTCTCAGCAGGCACTATCCACAGATATGCCTTGGGTATGCAGATTCTACATGGAACAGGCAGTCTCAAAGTTAGCCTGGCCCAAGCCATGGAGGACTTTAAGGTGATCACCAGTAGCTTGTATTGTGCCCATAAACAAACTGGCAATCAGTGTAGCTCCTGCAGTATTGTGGTATATGACAGTACCAAATTGTCTCAGTTAATACGCGGGCTGTTGTATTTTGTACCAGCTGCAATTTCCAAGTGGTCTTCAAGGGGAATCCCATGTGGAGCACATTACAGTAGTCCATTCATGAGGTGCAAGTGCTTTCTGCTTTAGGAATGGTTGTTGTTGATTGTTTTTCCACTGGAGGTGACATTTGATGGCAGGGGAAACAAAATCAGGGGAATCCACCAATTTAGCTTTTCCCAAATTAAAAAAATAAGGACAGCAACAGTTCCTAAGTCACTGATATGGTAAAACAGGATATAGCAATCAAGAGAGCAAATTTTATGCCAACATATTTTTCTGCTGGTTCACGTACTAGTACATAGTATTTCAGTGTGTCCTGGGACTGTGGTATAATTATATTGCAAAGAGGCAGAGAGACACTTTGATGTCTCTGCATGCCATCAGAATAGCTTCCACCCCCTACCCCCCCCATTGCAACATCTACTGGTAATGTGCACTTTCTGCTGGAACATATACATACTGCACAGAACTGTTAGCAAATATAAGGAAAGTACTCAGCTCAGGGTCAAATACAAAATAAATAATAAATTAAAAAATAAGAGGAAAATGAATTCCCTGGCACATACTGAGAATATCTAATTCCATCTGGTAGCTTCACAACTACTAGGAATTTATAATATTGTAGAGAAGAATTAATGTTGAAATTTACCACTGAAATTAATAGAATGTTAAAATGTTTAATTTTGCTGCACCATGTCCAATGCCTGTTTTGACTGTTTCTTTATGATTTGCAATCCAAACTGTATTTTTAATAGGAAAATTGCATATATTTTAAAATAATTTAAACCATTTGTATCCTAATTCTGAAAAAGCCATAGAAATAATAGCATTCAACATATACCAACAAAGAATTTTTGAAAGATATGTATTAATAAAAAAATTAAAAACATATCAAGTAGACTTGCACTTTTATCACTTGAAAAGTTTGAGACAAAATATGTTATTTCTGATTTTGAATCCTTCACTTTGGCTGTTTGTTTACATTTTTTTAATCTTGATATTTATATATTCTATTTTATACTAGCTATTGACTTCTCATTACAGGACAATGCCAGACAGAGCTACATTGAGCTTGTGTCTAGTCTGGTTTCTGCAGAATCTTCTCCAGTTAATGAAATTCCCCCTGGTAGCAAATCCAACTATGAGACACTCCAGGTTACTACTAAAGACAACATCACAAAGATCACATTAAACCGCCCAAAGAGGAAAAATGCTATCAATGTCAAGGTAAAGCTTGTAGATTCTGTAGTTCGGGAACAAATGGAGTACATGAAAAGAGAGACGGAAAGCAATTTTTTAAACATCATCTATGGAACATTTAAAATATTAAGGCATGATTTCACAAAATGGTACCATTCATGTATGTTTACTAATCACCCCAGACAGAGGAAAAGTTGCCCTGGCACCCTGTTATGATTCTTTCCTTGTCTTCTCTTTACCTCCTCTGTCTCTATTCTTTTTTCCCACTTTCCATTTTTTAAACACAGGTGAATCAGTTTAATCATTGATTTGTATACGCCTAGAATCCACAAAATGTCACCCAGGAATGCGACACGTACCCAATTAAAATCACTACTTACCCGCCTTTTTACATTTAAACAATTAATTTTAAAAATGAAAACTGCATACTATGAAGCAGTCTGGAGACCCCAACAGGCCCATAAGCTTTTTTAGAAAGCAAAAAACAATGACCAGATCCAGCCCAGTGCTTTGTTTGGAAGTGCATCTGTCTGTCCATAGAAAGGAAAAGATTTGTGTGGGCAGGAGGCAATGTCTTTCAGATAGCAGAAGCAGTATTCTGGTGGATTGGTTATTTGAAACCATTGATTGATTGATATAATCAATCACCTATAATTGCCAAGTGTTCTCTTTCTTAGTAGCTGTTTTGCAAAACTACCCAAGTGTTCTTAAAACTCCAAATGCTGAAAATGATTGGGGGCAGCTGTTTATTTTTTTTGCTTGTTTTTTCTTTTGCTTGTTATGCTGCCCATTCCTGCAGGCTCTAGGCAGCTACCAATATAAACATATAAAAATACTCCAGGAAACCCCAAATGCATATAAATGTAAAAAGAACAAGAAATAAACACTAACAACTACAAATGCCATGCATTTGCACTCTCACTTTCAAATCACAAAACACCCTCCTCCTTTGCAAAACAGAATGGGAAGATTTTCAAAGTTTTCCTGAAGTCTAGGAGTGAAAAGGCTGATCAAATTTCTACTGGGTGGGAGTTCCAAAGACTGAGGAGAGCTACTGAGAATGCCAGATTCCAAGGCTCTGTCACATGACAGTCCTGTAGGGACCCTCTTTGATCTGCTTGAAGAGGCAGATGAATATAAGAGAGGGTGATCCCTCAGATAACAAGATCCAGAACCAATGTACTGGAAGCCAACAGTAACCACCATAGCTCCCAAAACAGCAGAATCACCCTAACATGTCAAAATACACCCATTACTGCCTAGATTGCACTATTCTGCACCAACTGTAGCTTCTAGATACTCTTCAGGGGCAGCCCCATGTAGGGCATATTAAAGTTTTCCAAACAGGAAGTGACGAGGCTCATCAGTGACTGTGATCAGGGCCTGCGGGTCTAGGAAGAATCACAATTGGCACACAAGCTGTAACTCTGCAAAAGCTCTCTTAGTCACAGCTGCCACCTGCTCTTCAAGTAGAAGCTGTGAGTTTAGAAGAACTCCCAAATTGTGAACCACCTCTAAGTGGTGGAATACAACCTTGCTGAAAGTTAAAGATAGAATTTTCCTAGAATCATTATGCCCACAAAACCAAAGCCACTCTTTCTTGATGGGATTCGATCAAAGTTTTTTTCTCCCCTGACAGCCTCCAGGCACTGGGTCAGCACTACCATCAGATTCCCTGTTTGGTCTGGTGTCTGGTCAGACTTGAGGCAGGTTTTCCTCCAGCGATGCCCTAGGCATTGTCTCTTCCATTGCTTCATCTATCTGAGCTCCTCTTTATTACATACCATAACATGATGATTTACAGGATTTAAGACAAATTTTATATTTGAGATTCAACAAAGGAAGAATAATAGAAAAGGAGGCAAAAGTAAGGAAGCAACAAACAATTATTTTGACAGCATATTACTATGCTTAGTTAATGATAGCTGGATTATAGTAGGGCTTGTATGACTTTAAAGAGAGAATGATAGCTGGATTATAGTAGGGCTTGTATGACTTTAAAGAGAGAATGATAGCTGGATTATAGTAGGGCTTGTATGACTTTAAAGAGAGAATGATAGCTGGATTATAGTAGGGCTTGTATGACTTTAAAGAGAGAGAACATATGTCAGTAACTGGAGAAAGAAAAAATGTAGGTCGGGGAAAGTTTTGGGAATAGGACATTTTGTTTTATGTCTTAATTCATCAGCTGTATATGTGATCAGATTGCCCTGTAAAATTATTTTGGAAACTATTCATTAAGCAACTAATGAAATAATAATTAGTTTTCTTTTTGTGTCTAAAAACCTTAATCCGGGTAGAAGATTGGACTAGATGATTTCTAATATCTCTTCCAACTCTGATATTTTATAATTCTGTGATCTTCAGTATGCAGTTGAACTGAGAATTCATATAGACTTTTGGTATTCATCCAGCTTTACACTTAATTAGACCTTAATTCTAACCCAGTGGAATAAAGAATGCTGCTTTGCCTGTTCCCTTTATTTAAAATGGCAGGTTAATTGATTTAATTGTTCTCCGGTGACTTCTTTTTTTATAGCAGAAATGAATTATAAGAAAGGGGAACTTTTTTAAAAAAACTGATAATATTGTATTCCATTTACTAACTATTAATGTTGTGCTATACATTTTATTGCCTCTGTACAAATATCTGACTGATAGAATTTGATTCAGATAGCTTCTGTGGTCATCTGTAAACCAGAAGCTTGCATCTTACTATGGTCAAAAGACTGTATATGTTCCTTGCAAAGGTCATAATGTTTTACAATTCCATCTCTCTCATATAAGAAAAAAGTAACTTATATATTCTGAAACCCAAAGAAAACACAATTTGATATTCTACATGTTTCATTTTTCTCAGTTTTATTTGTTGGAAACATTCTGTATCTACAGCAGTTCTGGAAAAAAAAAGACTTCGTTCTTTTGAGTCTTTGGATGACATTGATAATCTGGGGATTCAGTAGTTCAAGCTACAAACATTTTTCCTTTAACTTTCTGCACTATGGAATGGGAGTTTATTTTCATTTGTTAATTCTCTTTTGCAGATGTACAATGAAATTATGGAAGCACTTGATGAAGCAGCAAATGATGATTCTGCTCTAACAGTTCTGACAGGTGTTAGCTTTTACCATGAAAGTGAAAATCTGTGTTAATGTTAAATATTAAGAAAATAAAGGTAGTGTCAACCTGTGTGCATAGTGAATTTGCAGTTGACAATGAAGAAGTGAAGGTGTTGATAGTTGGATTTTCTTAGGTAAAAAAATCGTTACAGTTGGACTGGACAGCATGCTGGAAGAATAAAAAAGAGAATCCTAGGAAAAAAGGCAATAAGAAACTTAGGCAAAATCATGAGGAATATTTCAGTGACAACAAATATCAGAAGAGCGAAAGCAAGTCATCAAGAAGAGCTAATCAGTTGGTCTGAGAAAATTCAAAAACTAACTAGCTTTAAAACAATCACTAGGAAGCAAAAACTCACATACTTTGAGCATATGGTACAAGTGGATGGACAAGAAATCTGGCTCTGCTTGGCAAGGTTGAAAGGAAACAACAGAAACAATGGGTGGATGGATGGGTGGATGGGACATCACCGGGATGTCTTTGGAGGAGCTACAAGTTATTACAAAGACAGGTCAAGATGGCAAACATTCATTTGTATAGTAACCAGGAGTTGAACTTGACTCAACGACTATCTTGTTCAGTCAAGTTTGAGTTAGCAGGAAGGTGGGGGAATATATTTTCTAGATGGAACTTGACTCAACGACTATCTTGTTCAGTCAAGTTTGAGTTAGCAGGAAGGTGGGGGAATATATTTTCTAGATGGAACTTGACTCAACGACTATCTTGTTCAGTCAAGTTTGAGTTAGCAGGAAGGTGGGGGAATATATTTTCTAGATGGAATAGTTGTGTTCACATGCAATAATAGCATCTAGAATTCTTCAGAATGCTAGTTTCTTCATACTGCTGCCAAAACTATTGCTCCCATTTAGCTCCTGATTGCTAGAAAGAGCTAAGCAAATCAGGAAGTTCTCCTGCTATCGTTACATGCAAGCCAGAAGTCTTGTCTTGGTCCTTTCCTGACAAATAAGTCAATACAAATTCTGGCTTATGATTCTGGACTGTTACTAGAGAAACAAGATGAGATCTGACTTGCATGTAACACTGATTAAACAAACGCTAGTTAGGATTTGACATAGATATAAATATTCTGACATTAGTTTATATTGTTTACATAGAGACAATGACATACTGTTTCCTGAAAAGGGAAATTCTCAGTTCTTATGAATAGCATGTCTATAAGTAGCATTTTGAAAAATGCCATTTCAAGATTGTTTTTTAGATTTTTTAGATGCCCTGTTTGCTTACCATTTATTTCATCTTGTAATATCCCATTTGGCATAAAATGATAGCATTCTTTTTTTTTTTTTTAATAATTCCTTCCCTTAGGAAGTTGCTTGTAGAAGACAGTAGAAAGCTGTCTGTCTCAAGATAGGATGTGGTTGCAGGATGAAAAAAGTGAAACAGTGAAATGCTGAGT